TACCTTTTTTCAGCATCTTTAAAGCTACGAGAATAAAACCCAATGGGCCGAACAGGCCCCTCTGGACCCTTTTGCCACAAATGGATTGACAGTCCAGTCTTGGCAAATCCCCACTCAATTTGAACCGGGTCTGTTGGGTGAATGGGACCAAGAGCCTGATAGGCATTCGCTTCAAGCACCAACAACTGTAAAGCCTCGTCATGGACCTGAGTCCATTCCCACTGAGCTCTCTTTCGCAACAAGTCATACAGGGGTCTAGCAATAATTGAGAAATCAGGAATGTGTTTCCTCCAAAACACAAGCAACCCTAGTGCATGCTGTAAGTCTTTCTTTGACTCTGGCATCTGGATCTGATCAAGAGAGGAAAGGGTATCTGGTGGGATACACGTCATGCCTCCCTTCCACCAGATTCCTAAAAATTTTACCTCACTTGAAGGAGTCTGGATCTTCTCAGGTGGAATTGTCAACCCTATACTTTCCAAATGGGTGATGATGTCGTTCTGGGTTTCTCTAACTTCTTCTACCTGCCTTCCTCCTATGAGCACATCATCTATATATTGATAGATCTTTACCTCTGCTTTTATGGGAATTGTTTCCAACTCTTGTGCTAGAGCATGGTGAGCCAGCGTGGGGGAGTGCTTGTATCCTTGGGGCAGTCGTGTAAAGGTGTACTGTTGTCCTTCCCAGGTGAAGGCAAAGCGATCCTGGTCCTCAGGTTGTAAAGGGACCGTAAAAAACATATCCTTAACATCGATCGTTGCCATGACAGGGTGGGATTGTTCCTGAATGGCAGCTATCAATTCAGCAATGTTTGGTACAGCAGCTGTTAGTGGACCTGTGTTGGCATTGAGCCTCCTGTAATCTACTGTCAATCTCCATTTGCCGTTTGGTTTTCGGACTGGCCATACTGGGGAGTTGAAGGGGGAGTGAGTGGGAACTACAACCCCTTGTTTCTTTAAATCCTCCAGAACTGGCGTAATTCCTTCTCTTGCTCCTAGAGGCACTGGATAGGGTTTAACATTTGTCAATTTGGAAGGGGGAAGGGTAGGTGCCGCTTGCAATAGACGCACCTCCATGCCGGATGTTTTGGCTAACTGCCTAATCTGAGGGACACCAAAAGACCATGAGTTTCCCTGGGTGTCACGCCACTGTCTACCCTTCAAAACATCTATACCTAAAAGGTTCATCTGGAAAGATCCTACAGCCACCATGGTATTGACAGGGTTTTCCTCCCCTGGCAACCATAGTGTTGCCGGAGTCATGGGCACTGATTGTGTTTTTCCAAAGGCATTTAAGACAATCAGATTTTTAGATGGGGCCGAAATCCCACATCGTTCTGCTTCAGTCCGCCTTAGCGCGGTAATTTGTGCCCCAGTATCAATTAAAAAGGTCACCGGTCTTTTCTTTGGTCCTACAGCAATAGTAATCAGTAAATCTCCTTTTGTATTGCAGGTGAGTTGTCTAACAAACATCCACCCTCCGTCTCCCCCCTCACCTTCAGGGAGCGGAGGATCTAGTTTCCCGCCACCTTCTCCTCCTTAGTTGGCTCGTCCTCAAGGTTTATCGAGGGTGGGGCACTAGGGGTTGGTTTGGAAACGGCCTTTTGCCCTGACCAGTTCTGCACAAGCTCCTCCAATCTTTGGGTCGAGAGCCCATCCATCAAGTCCCAGGGAATGCCTTTCTGAAGCCCTAGCTGCCACAGTCCCTGTCGACTTAGGGGCCTCTCTCTTCCAGGGGCTAATAGCCGCCCACTAAGTTGCCGTACGATCTTGTTTTCAGTTCTTTGAGACGATCCACCAACAGGGCCGTATTTTCTCTCAAAGTTAATCAATTCCTGAGCTACCTCTCCCCATGTCCACACTTTTCTCCCTGGCTGCCGATGGTCAGGGGACATTCTCCCCTCCAGAGTGGACATAATCCTTTCTCCATTGGGGGTGTTTAGAATTCTCCCTTGCAATTGAATCCCAATGGGTTTCAGAGAGTCGGGAAGTCCCCGTATTAGAATACTCATCCTCTCTGGGTCCACAGGCAGCAGCATCGGGGAGCCCTGATGGGGCTTGAGCTCCCGGTCATACATCGTCTGGATACATGCCGCCTTTTGCACACTTTCCACTAGCTGATCCACTGTACTGGTTATGGCAAGGGGATCTCCCCTTTCCATGGGGTTTAACCCTCCAGCCCAGTACGCAGCTCTCTGAGTCAATGACCATGGGGCCCGGTAATCGCCAGTTGTTAGAAACACACCTGGACCCCAATATCCTTCTGCTTCTTTCTCTGACAACAAGATTCCATCTCCTCCTGACAAAGACACTCTCCACACGTACTCCGTCTCAGATTCCTTTGCCATCCTTGAAAAATCTTTTCTCAATTTTGTTAACTCAGTTGCTGTATATGGGGCTTCTTTAGTGATAACCTGAGGACAGTCATCACTACTGTCCTCATACACATACTCTGTTTTAATCAGTGGATACATATGTGGGAGGCTTTCTATGGTTTCTTTTGCCCTTTGCAAATCCCCCTGAGGATAGATTTGCTGTGTCCTTTTCTCCGCAGGCGGCGTTTCTACCTCCGCCTGTGTATCCGCCTCTCTCAAAAGTTGATTCTTCAATTCCTCCTTTAATATCACATTTTGGTTCCTTTCCTCCTCCAACAATTGTTAACTTTCTTTCAATTGTTCCTGCAAATTTTTGATTACCATCTGCAGGGAGTCTATTACATTATCAGTTTGAGAAGACTTCTGCTTTCTCTCTTCCACCGCAGCTGCCAGACTGGCTCCCAACACCGCACAAATTATAGCTTTTCCTTTCCCCTTCTTAACCTTAGCTTCCTTCTGTAAGATTCTTATCCTATCCACCACACTCTGTGGTTGAAACCAGTGGTTTCTCGCCCAGTATTGTCCCTGGACTGAGGGGCAAGATTGGTAGTCCTCTAAAAGATCATATAATTTCTCTATTCCTTCAACTCGTGAGGGTGCAGAATCACAAACACCAACAATTTCCTGAGCATCCATTTTCTCTAACAAAAATCAGGGGGTCTGCGTTCTGAGAGGGTCACAACTTAACAACATATTCCCCCTATTCTCTCTCAGAAGGACACACTATCCAGTTACAGATCAACATAACTAGAAGGGGGTAATGTCTTGAGAGGGTCTCACAATAGTTCCGAATTCCCCCCTTCTCACTCTCAAGAGCACAAACTTCAAAGCCACACACTAACTTAAAGGAGGATTACGTCCTGAGAGGGCCACGCGTGAATATACTAGTTCCCCCTTTTCACTCTCAGGAGCCAGACTACACATTAACACAAAAGTTCAACAACAAATTAGTACAGCACTCTCATCTCTGGGGATCCTGTCCGTGACACCAATTAAAATGTCCCGATCCAATATCGGGGAGGGTTCTTAAACGATCCCAAGAGCGAGATTAAGACACAAACAAGGTCAGATGCTGTACAACCTTCTAAGTTTTATTTCCTATAACAACTGAT